GTGGTCCTGCAGGTTAGAACTAACTTTCAAGCAAAGCTCAGCTAATTTTTTAAAAATTTGAATTACTTCTCAGCAGTTAAAAATCAGGAGATTTTTCATACGAATCTGGATTTCTGGGTTTCTCATTTAAAACTGGGAGATCTGATAGCATTGGCTCACATTCCTTCTTGGTAGCGGCCTGCCAGAGCGGAGAAGTAGCTGCCTCCTTTAGACAGAACGTGCTTGCTGTCGCCCCCACCCCCTCCCTATTGAGTTATATTCATTGCACTGCATACCCTTTTTTTTTTCCTGATACTTGGCTGGCCCCAGAGGCATCTCACAAACTCCACTTTGTATGAAGCATACAAGGTCATACTTGGGATGGCACATTGAAGAATTACTAACTTTGGGCCATTTTTATGCTTGCTACCCACATTATGGTGGAATATGACAGCAAGAAGAGAAAGAATAAAGTGAGTCACAAAAAGGAAAGGGAGACCCTTTAGTACCAAAGCCCCCCATTCCCAGGAAGCAATTATAGATAAAAGACAAGGAAAATAAACTCTATTTTAAAATAGAGAATATATAGTGGGCAGAGTTAATATAATTTTCCTTGCATGTATATTTTTGCTTTAAACTGTTACTTGGTAGTAGCAACTTTAATGGAAAGAAATTTTTAATGGCATATTTCAGAGTGCAACCATCACCAACTGTAAAATTTTAGATGTAGACATGAAATGTCTCATCCATACAGACAGATTAAACACAAACTCAGTAGGGCTTTTTGAAGAATTGTCAAGGATTTCTGATTGACAATTTTCCATGGTTTAGTTGGAAAGATGAGTACATTTTTCAAGGATGGATGGAAATCACTTTTTAATAGTTTGGAGGATTATCTATAAGTAACACAAATGTTGAGATGCAGCTAGGCTATGCTAAAATCATGGCTGACGGTTCAATGTCTGGTTACTAAAAAATACAATGAAATCATGGCTGAGAGAGGGGAGATGGCAGTAGTGATGCGCAGCTCCAGAATGTGTTTGGGATTTAATGGACACTATGATCTACTTCTCACACAGCATTGTGGGGAAATGCATAGACTCAGAGAATTTGTCCACTTCAAAAATCTTGGAGTGAAAACAGAAAAAAGTTAAAAGCCATATGGGAAGGAATGCACATAGGAACAGACATCAGAATGATGTAGGAAGGATGGTAAAGGAGAACAGAGAAGCAAAAGGTAGTCAGCAGTAGTGGTATCCACTTGCCCTGGATGAAATTGGTCTCACTGTCAAAGAATCTTCTTGTCTCTGGTCTCATCTAAGCTATTTGGTTTTCTCCAAAAGCTAATTTTAGAGTGTGGCTCTTAATGCATCAGGATCCCTGGAAGATCTTACCAGTTGAGGACTCTTCTTGTGTACCTAAAATCCTATAAGTAATTGACCCTTTACATAGTTCTTTTCTTGTTTTTTTTACTCTGTTCCTCACTAACAAGGCTCTGGGGCTTGGGAAGATCCTCAAACTCCTGATCTTGAGGTAGGAAGGAAAACTCTGCTGTGCCTCTGCATATAGGACCAGGAGAGGACAAAGGAGGGAAAGTGTTAGGAATGTAATGGCCTGTAAGTAGAGGTAAGCATGGGCAACAGAGTTGAGAGAGAAACCACAAGTGACTCACGGGCGGTGCCCAGCCGAGGAAGGCTGAACTTTTCACCACATGTGGACAAGAAGTGCCAGTGACATGCCTCAGCCAGGAATGCTCCCTGACCATTGTCACCGTTCGAGATTTGTTCAGGGAATTCCTCTTTTATTGTAGGTTTCTACTTCTACTTATGGCAGAGGAACACCAACCAGATCAACCCTCTTCAGATAACAACTTTTAAAACTGACCAAAATATAAAACCAGATTCCTTAAGTCACCATGGAGCAACCAAGAGTTGACATTTTGAAGAAAGGAACGTCACTGGGTGAGTGTCCCATTTTTTTATAACTCCTTGCCTGAGCCAGGTTCCACTTCGTGCCATGAACAATCACCGTCTTACTGGCTTAAAGAACCAAAAAACAGAGACTGGTGCAAACACAGAAGTTAGAAGTGAGATGAGAAATCCTACAAAGGAGAGAGCCAGAAAAGGGGAGCTGAAAATTCTATACATAAATTCTCCCCAAATCTCTGACTGACCTCTGAACAGGGGTGGGGAAAACTCCAACCAGTCCAATGGACTAAAAAATCTAATAGATATCAGCTGTTTACTGCATTGGAGACCAAAGTTTGAAATTTGCATTCTTCCAAGTTAATCGCTCACTAAAACAAACAAACAAAACAATCAGTAGTTTTCAGAGGAACAAAATCTCTACAGCATATTGTTGAGACCATCCAGAATATAATCCAAAATCACTAGATATCTAAAAAACAGGAAAATGTGGCCTATACCAAGTAAAAAACAATCAGTAGATGCCAACCTTGAGATGACCCACCTGGTGAAATCAGCAAAGATTTTAAAGTAGCAGACAAAGATATTATAATTATGCTCAAGGACATATAGGAAAATATTCTCATAATAAAGGAAGAAATGAAAACAATCTCAGCACAGAATATTTACTATTAAAAAAGAACAAAATGAAAATTATATAATTGAAAAATATAATATCTGAAATTTAAAAACAAACTCACTGGATGTGCCTAAAATCAGACTGATGATAACAGAAGAGTCAGTGAACAAGAAGATAGGTTAATAAAATTACCCAATCTGAAGAATAGAGAAGGAAAAAAAGTTTTTTATAAAAATGAAGGGAGCCTCAAGGATTGGTGGGGACAACATCTAAAGATCTAACATACATGAAATTGAAGTTGCTAAAGGAGAGAAGAGAGTGGAACAGAAAAAATAGCTGAAGAAATATGGCTGAAATTTTCCCAAATTATGGTGAAAAATATAAATTTACAGATTAAAGAAGTTCAACTTGTAGTTTTACAAGTAAGATAAATATAAAGGAAACCATACCTGTAGGCATGTTATAGTTAAACTGCTGAAAACCAATGGTAATTTAAAAGCAGCAAGAGTAAAAGAACACATTTCATATAGGGGAACAATATTAAAGATATGGTTATTTTCTCATCAGAAACAATGAAAGCCAGAAGACAATTAAAGAACACTTTTAAAGTAGTAAGAAAAAATTATTGTCAACAAAAAATCCAACAAAAATATCCTTCAAGAATAAAGGCAAACTATAGACATTTTCAAATTAAAAAAAATCTAAGACAATTTGTCACCAACAGATCTGCATTACCAAACCTGTGACAGGAAGTTTTTCAGACTGAAGGGAAGCCATGCCAAATGGAAATGCTGTGTGCTGTATATGCTGTCTACAAGAGATGTACTTTAAATACGAATATACAGATAGGTTTAAAGTGTGTCTCCTGAAGACAGAATATAGCTGGTCTTGTTTTCTGGGTTTTTTAAAATATATAGATCCATTCTGATAATCTCTGCCTTTTAATTGGTGTATTTAGTCCAAAAATGATATGCCATACAAACAGTAAGCAAAAAAAGAGCTATATTGATATCATGATAAAGAATATCACCAGAGATAAAGAAAAACATATAATGATAAAAGACTCAGTTACTCAGGCAGACATATCAATCAAAATTTGAATGCACCTAAAACAGAGCCTCAAAATACATGAATAAAAAATTGACATTAAGGGAGAAACAGATACTTCTACACTCATAGTGGTATTTTGAAATCCTTCTCTCAATAGTTAATAGAACAACTACACGAAAAAACCGGTAAGGGCAAAGATGATCTGAACAATGCCATAAAACATTTTGACCTAATTGATATTAGAAAACACTACCCCAACAACCGCAGAATATATATCCTTTTATGCTTCAGGGTACTATGAACCCCCCAGCTCTTGCTGAAGGGGAATAAAGGCCCACCCTGTCCGCCTGTATTTGCTACACCACACTGCCTTTCTGTACAGCAGTAAGCCATTCAGTCAGAGTAGGATGGAGGGGGAGCTGATGAGAGGGACAGTGCTAAGCTTATGTAAAGGAGAAAATTAAATGAGTCAATATATGTAAAGCCCTAGAACAGTACCTGGCACTTAGCTCTGTACTAGTGCCAGCTAAAGTTGGTATGACTACCTGGTCCTGGAAATCCTGGAGACAAAAGGAGAGTGGGCATTAGGATAGCAAGCTGGAGGGGTGTCCTGAAGACTGGATTACAGGGAGAATTATTCCTCCTGTGCAGGGAGAGAAAGGACCATGCAGATGTCACAAGAGTGACTCCTTCCAAAGTGACTCAAGGCTGATAAGGAACTACAGGCTCCTTATCATGTGTAAGTTTCAGGCAGTTCCAGCTCCGGTTGCTTTCCAGAAGTGACTACTGGCTCCCTCTTCCCAGGAGAGAACTGTGAGAAATCCCTGGGATGGCAGGGATAGGTTTTTTTGTTTCTGTTTGTTGTGGTTATCGTTTTATTTTGTTGCACTGCTTTGTGTGGTTGAGCTGTTGGGGTGGGGGAGAAGACATCTGCGGAGGTAGATGGGCCATTGGGGGAGCTGCTGGAGGCCTGCTTTTCTCTGTCCCCCACCATGGCATGGACACACAGGGCCCATCTCCACTGGAGAGACTCAGACTTGTGGTCCAATGTCCTCAGGGGTAAGAAAAGAACACTGGGCTTGTGAGGAGCTGGGAATACAGGTGGGCACCCCTCACCCCAGGTAGTCACTATGAAGGTCCAGACTGCTGCCCTGTCAACCCACCCCACCCCACCCCAACAAAAGGCAAAGCATAATCCATGCCTCCCACGTTCATACACATGTTCTTTGCCCTGCGAACAATGAGGCTTGGCATGTGAATCGACTATGTTGTGTTGGGACATATTATTGGGTATAGTTGTTGTTACAATTGTGGGAAGGGGCCTAGAATGCCAGGCAGGCCAGTCCAGAAGGGTAAGACTGTGCGTGACTCCTGAAGCACCGAGCATCCTGGGCTGGGCAACACATCTGTTCTCTTGGCTACGCCAGGTCCTGGGGAAAGTCGAGGTGGCCTGCCTCAGGGAAGTCACCATGCCCTGGAGAAGGGAGGTCTCTCCCAGTCCCCCTGGTTAGACAGGAAGTCCTACAAGCACCCTTCTCCTCTCTCTGTGCAAATGCCTCTAATCCCACGAAACATGTGCCTATGCCCAAGTAAGGCCCACACTGCATCTGGTCAGTGTCATTCTGAAAGGAAAAAAGAACACTCTTACCAAGGTGTCTGGGAGGACCACCACAGGGCAACAGGAGTACCGGAGCAGCTGGCCCATTTTCCAGATGGAGAGTGGCACAGCCACGAGGATCAACATGAAGCCAACAAATGCAAACAGGGCCAGAGCCAGGGGAAGGACCTCTCCTGAAAACAAAAAGATAAGAACAGGCTTAGAAACAGTGGTGAAGACAAAATCTCCAATCTGGGCCTCCCCCAGTTTCCTGGAGTTGGCTCTGACATTGGCCAAGATCGCAGATACCAACATCCTGAGGTTTGATATTTGCCCTGGTGATTAAAACTGTAATACCACCATTAAAACCATTTTCCTAGAATCCAGATTAAGGCATGGTTTCAGAAAGCTCCAGGGAAGATTAAAATCTTTTTCTGGGGAAGGGAAAGGGAGGAGCATCATATGTTAAGCCACTAGTGGTGTTAGCACGTACCTTGGCACTGCTGCCAGGAGGAAGGCAGAGTGCCAGGCCCCCGGCAGGATGAGGGGGAGGTGCTGAAAGAGAACAGCACAGAACAGTGCTGGGCGGTAACTAAAACAAAGTGTTTCACAATTTGCTCTTTGCATCGATTCATATTATGGAGGAAATACTAAGTTCAGAAAACAGTCACATAATGACTATGATTTATAAGCCTCTATTATGTGTGCTAGAGCTACTGCCTCCTTCCCGCACTTGCTAGGGGCTGGACGTGTAGTCACTTGTTTTTCACAATTTCACAAGTGTGAGTATCCCTGCTTCTATTAATATAAAAAGGATTTTATGCTCAGAATGGTTGCATGACTTACCCAAGGTCACACAGGTAGGGCTGGCTCCAAAGACCAAGGTTATTTTACCAAATAAATGTAGCAGAAAGGGCCATATCTGAGCATCTGGAGATGCAGAAGAGGGGATGGGTTATTTTCTCATCTCTCTGTTCTATGCAACCTCGAGCAACTCATTTAGCCTCTGGGCTGGGCAGCTTCCCCACGAAGTGAAGGGTTGCTCAGCCAACAAGGCTGTGGAGAAGCTGGTGAACTTACACATGTGACTGAGGGCACTATCCATTGTTTCAGGGCTTTTGGAAAATATTTTGTTAGCATACATCAATACACAAATGTTCATACCCTTTCACCCATTCCTGTGATTTTAATTCCAAAAACTAATTCCAAGGAAGGAAACAATTATATGCATAAGTCGGTTCTTAGCAACATCTGGACTACAGCAAGAGCCTCATAACTGATTACATGCGTTGGCACATCCACATATTGGCTCACTATGCGTCTTTTTAAGGAACAAGGTAGATCCATGTGCACTGACATGAAAAGATGTTCAAAATACACTTCTAAGTGAAGACAAGCCAGGTACAGAACAGTAGGTACAGTCTAGTCCCATTTGTGTGTGCACACTGGTATCACACAAGCAATGACTGGAAGATTAAATGTCAGACTTGCCAAAGAAAACCTCCTGAATGGTGTGGGAGAGAACAGAGCACATTTACCTCTTACTTCACATACTTCTGTGTTGTCTGGATTGTTAAACATGCTTGACTTATATGATTTTGAAAAGTATTAATAGTATAACATGGTAATCAGGAAATAAATCTGCATGGAAAATGTTATGGATATGATGTTTGTGAAAAAGTGGGCACAAAGTGTATATGCAGGACTACAGCACGTGCCTACACATGGGCAATGACTGAAGGATAATACCTCTTGGAGGGCAATTTGGAAACAGTGATCAAAATTCAAATGTGTATGCCTTTGACCAAGCAACAATACTTCCATGAATTTATCCTTCAAGTACAGACACATCAGCAAAATGATCTCTGTACAAGGAAATTAATTCACGCATTGGCTGTAATAGCAAAATATTTGGGGGGAAAACCTAAATGCCTATCAATATGGGACTTGTTAAATAAGTTATCATATATTCACACAATGAAATACTATGTAGCTGTAAAGAAGGATAAAGGAATGTCTTTATCAATATGGAAAAATCTACAAAATATATAAAGTGAAAAAGACACAATCCAGAACAGTGCCTAAAGTATGCTATGATTTATGCTAAAAAAGGGCAATAGATATAAATACATTCTCATTTACGTGCATATGTATTAAAAAGTCTTCAGAAGGATATATGAGAAGCTAATACCTATGGGAGAGAGTGTGGGAATTATATAGATGGGGAAGAGGAGTGAGAAAGAGAACTTCTATGTATATCTTATATTTTTGGAACCATATAAATGTACTACGTATTCAAGATAATTATTAGTCTTTTTAAAAAGACTAAAATGTTCTACACAAAAATGTTCTACACCACTAAAATGTAGTGCTGTTTGAATGGCAGGATCATGGGATATAGAGATTTATTTGGTTCTGCTTCTTTTCAAAATGTTCTAAACATTATAGGTTTTAACACCATAAAATATTCAAGGGAAAAAATTAAGTCGAACAAGAGGATTCTGTAGATTTTCCAAAAGGACCCTTCCAGATAAAAGCAGCTGTGACCTTGTACAGTGCGGTGTGTCCTTACAAGGTCCGCCTCTGCCGCAGCCCCCTCTGATCCACAGGCAGTGACCATCTGGTAAACCAGTCTTGCAACATCCAGCCCCAGGCCTAGGAAGCTTTAAAGGAGAAAGTGTTCCAGACAGCCCTGGGGTGGACTCCTGCCTCTAGGGAATTAGAATGACGTGCACACTTTCACCACGCCAGCCCACCCAGCCTGCGGGGCAGGTCAGTGAAATCAAGGGAAAACTCGGAACCAAAGTACCCAGCAGGCAGCCACGCATGTGCCAAGAGGGCTATCACCCGTGCAGGGTTCCAGGGGACAGGGAGGCTGTCCTTACCTTCAACCTCAACACATTCTGCCTGGCTGAAGGCGCTGCGCCTCCCAATGGCCTTCACAAATGTCTGAGCCTTCACACAGTACGCAGCCCCCGGCTCCATGGTTACCAGGTGCAATGGAATGCCCCCACTGCTCACCGTTTTGACATGTTCCTTTGGGAGACCAGAAAACACAGTTACTCCCTGAGGACAGCACGAGTGGAAGAGCCAGGGAGGGAAAGCTACAGATACTTCCTTTCCAAAATGCATATAGAATGTTCCCTCTCATTTATGCACACATTCATTCACTCACTCATTCATTTATTTATATTTATTAAGCACCTACTACACTGTTCTAGGCAGAGGGACATAGCATTGAACAAAACAGACAAAGTCCCTGCTCTCATAGAGCTCACATGGGGAAAGACAAACAGTAATATAAACACATGGCAGGTGGTAATAAGGGCTGTGAAGAAAAAGCAGAGCAAAGAGGTAGAGGTAAGGAGGAGGCACTATTTTAAACAGGGTGGGTAGAAAAGCCTCTCTGATAGGGTAACATTTGGGCAGAGACCTGAAGGTTGGAAATCTGACTGAGCAGGGCTTGGCATGGCCATGGCCGCCAGGGGGTCAGTGCAAGGAGCATCGGCGCTGGCGGGCAGTATCTCCTCACTTGTCCATATATCCACCCATCTGTCCACCCATCTGTTCACCCCTCCACCTCCACCCCCCTCCCTGAGGCCTGTGCTCTGCGTCTGAGCCTGTGGAGGCTTGTCTGGACCCAGCCCAGATGACTCAGGGTGCATGTTCTTCTCTTAGCACCGGCCCTGCCAGTTACGAAGGGTGGGGAGTGGGCTCCATCCCAATGAATCTGAGGGAGCTGCATAGTTCCTCGTGCCCAGGCCCTGACCTGTCCCCTACACCACTCCATCTGCTTGGCTGGCAGTGCCACGTCCTACCAGGGGTCCCTGAGCTGGCATGGTAAGTACTAGGGCCCAGTGGTATTGCCCACCGCACCTGCCACACCACCTTTCAGGGGAAGCTACTCAACCTACAGCCCCTGTTGAATGGGCGGCAGGAAATGTGCCCTGCTCTACATAGGATGCCCCTATCCTGACATGGGTCTCATCAGAGGCCAGCTGGCCACCTGCGACCCCTAAAGCTCGGCCTGATAAGATGAGCAAAACCCATAAGATTGCTCTTCTAAGGATTTGGTCTTGGGAAACCCGAGTACCTAGAGCTAGAAGTAGGGACAAAGGAGAGAGGACACAGTGAGAGGCCTCAGAGGCCTGGGGAGGCATATCATAGGCACCTGTAGGGAGGAGTGAGGAGGGATTGGGGCCGAGGGCGTAAGCTGGGAGAAGGTCACAGAAAGCGTGTGATAGGTAGGGCCTGGCGGAGGGAAGCAAGGACTCCACAGGCGAGGGGCCCTGGGTAAGGGAGGCTGTGCTGCACCTGGCCCTGTGCCAGCTCCGTGCATAGATTCTGTGACAGTCCCTTATTGCCCCATATTAATCCTTATGATAAAGCCTATTTTTCACTGTTCTGACTGGAGCGAGCCTCTAGGCTTTGTCACCGTATCAACTTGGACAGGGGCTCCACAGGTCTCAGTGTCCCCTCAGTCCTGCTCGAGCTCCACCCCTTCTGCTGCTGCCGCTTGTTTGACCCTCCGCTCTGAGGACTGGCCTCCACCCACCCCAGACTGCAGCAGCCTTCCCACAGACAGCGGCAGCACCGCATCTAGGCATTCTGCACGGCCTATTCATTCGTAATTAGACACGTTTATTCGGGAGCCAGGGAGGAAACCAGCTGATGAGGGAGAAAAAATGCATTGAAGAGGTAGTGTGGGTCCAACTAGGATAGAGTTTAGAGCAAGGAGTTTAGCCCCCACACTTCAGCAGATCCCACCTGAAAAGGCTCCCGGCCAAGGCCTGGGATGGACCAAGGCATTCCTTTGAAGAAGAGGCTGATGGGAGGGTCAGCATACTCTCATCTCCTTTCGCACACTTCACCCGGGACTGCTCACCGAGCAGGCTGCCCAGTGAGCACTGCAGGGGCCGGCTTCCCTTGCTCACCTCCAGAGATCTGTGCCTTCTTCCCAAAAGCCGACCCAAAGGCCAAAGCAGGAAGCCTCACCTTAGCACCAGGCTCCCTCCTCCAGTAGGCCACAAGGAACTCAAACTGGGGCCCCAGGTCTTCCAGCTCAATAACCAGGTGGAAGCCATCCTTGGTGAGCTCCATCCCAGGTGGGGTGAGGATGGCTGTTGGCAAGACAACAGGAGGGTCAAAGCCAGCCCCAAATAGGACTGATTTCCTGGGACACAATGACAGTGTCATAGGTGGAAATACACCAGCCCCCCTGGGGCAGGGAGAGAGTCATATCTTCACAGCACTTGGAAACATGCACATGAATACTCTCCTGTACTCAGCAGGTGCTCAGTAAATGCTTTTTGAATAATGACTAAATGAAAAGCAACAAATGCTTGCAATTTCCCTTTTTTAAAAATCCCTTAACTATAATAAAGTCCTCTGTTCCTTCTCCAGGAGGCACACATATATAAGACAAGTGATTAAATACTCAAGTAAACATTATCTCTTTCCCTTTTAAAAGTTTATGACCCATGCCCCTCGCCTCCACCGTTCTTTTTCAGCAGAAATTGCTCCTCACTTTGGCTCATCTAAGCCAGCAGATGCTGTTTCTTAATGCTTGCCAAATACCTATGCGAGCTCAGGTCTATACTGAGCACAGTCAGGCCCAGTCTTTGCCCCTGGGGAATGAACACACCTGTCAGGGGCATGTGCCTCCCTACAGCTCACACAGATCAGTGGCGTGTACTGGCTTCTGATGACTTTCAAACATCAGCAGATCAGCAGCCTGTGAATGGGTTGGCCGGTTTATTTTCAGCCCAAGTATCCTTCATCTCATATCTTGACAAAGGGATATTGGCAAGTCAGAGGCTTTTTATAAATTCTGATGATCAACTCTAGAAATTACAGCATGGGCACGAACATCATCTTTCACATTGCTGGGTCCCAAATAGAGAGGCCCACACCCCTGTGGATACTTTCCCATAGCGGGCCAAGAACAGACAGGCCTGCACAGGCAGTCTCTGCTCCCTGGCTGCTGGTGATAGAGCCACACTCGTCTCTCAGGCCCAGACGCTGTGGGGCCAGAAGGGCTTGGCTTGGGAAGTAGGGTGGGATGTGCTCTGGGCTAAATCCTCCACACTGGAGTCAGTGGCCACTCAGAACAAAAGCAGTTCCTGGAGGGACTTTTCCGAGAGCAAAGCATTTGCCCCTCACGTGCCTCATCAGGGAAGAGTGTCTACCGGTCATTGGAGCGCTGCCTGGTGGGGAACAGGAGGACTTGGGAAGCCAGAGCCAACTGTGCAAAATACACCCAGTCCAGAGGCTTCATGCAACCACACAGCACCACCAGCCCTACCTCTGAAACATCTCCCGGAGGCAAGAGACGTTTGACTCCTCCACTTTGAGTCAGACATGGTTAGCACGGGACCCTCTGATCTCCATCTTTATTAAGAATAGAATCAGGAAAAATGATCTAAAGTTTCGGTTTGGAGACTTGTTTGACAGCGTTGGGGCAGGAACCTCTGTCCTGTGCACTCTGCATATTTATTTCATTTAATCCACCCAGGAAGCTTAAAAAGGTAAACGCTATTCCCGTTGTACAGAGAGGTTAAGTGACATGCCCAGAGTCAAATAGCTAATGGCCAGAATTTGAGCCTATGTCTTTCTACACTTCTACCCTCCCCCATGTGGGGTGTTTAGCCTCTACAGTGGTGGATCTCAACCCTGGCTGTACATGAGAATAACTTGGGGAGAATTTTAAGCTCCCAGTGAACAGGACACACACAGATCATTTAAATCAGACTCTCTGGGCATGGCCCCAGACATAATGGTTCTAAAGCTCCCGTATGACTCAAATGCAGTCCAGGTGAAAAACCTCTGCTTGCAATAAGGTTTCTCTTTGAGAGTAGGAGACCCTTTTCAGGAGAGCCTTAAAACAGGATTTTTCACATGTCTGAGGAGAAGTCAGAGTAGCCTTGTTCAAATGGAAAAGGACAGACTTAATACCCTTAACAGATCACGATGCTATCCCAGCCCGTTTGCTGGGATCACACAGGGCTGCATCTCTACCTTCTGATGCGAGTACAGAGACTCCTGTTCCTCCACTCCCCCTGCAACAAGCCCTTTTCCTGTTTATGCTGGCCTTCTAAGCACAAGTTGTCACTGCACACCCCCACCCACATAGTTTTATAGGCACTCCCTTATCTCGATCTGACCCATGCTTGCCTTCCAACAACAGCTGTCAGCCCCCAGCCACGGTCTTGGCTGGAGCCCAGTGCTCCCAGGGCCAGGTGGTGCTGGGAGCTGCCTGGGCACTGCAGACAGAGGCAGAGTTGCAGTGCCCCCGGTGCCCTTAGCCTCCCCCAGCACCTGGCCCTGCCATCCTGCCACTTCAATCAAATCCTCCTGGTGCCTGGGAAGAAGGCCTGGGCAGAGGCGCCCACATTCTGCACCAAAATTCCTACTGGTATCCCATCCCGACATTCTATTTCTGCCCCACCCCTTCCCTCCTCCGCGCTCTGGTTCTCAATTCTGGGCATCCCTAGGGCTACAACAGTAGTAATACCTACTGGTAGCTGAGTGCTATGCTAGGACAGCTCTGCACTGGGCATTTACACACTGCATCTCATGCAGCCTCCACAACCACCCAGTGAGGCAAACCGTTGCCCCTCTTACAGATGCGGAGGCAGGGACCCAGCTGTCAAGTGGCTGAGCTGGGATTTGAACCACATCTGTCTGACCCACAGAGCCAACTTCCCCTTAAAAGCTGTCTTCATTTTCCACAGTCTCTTCCAGCTTGAGCTCCCCCATCTTCCAACTCTCTTGATTTTTACTGAATATCATACACTCCTTGGTGACCTTTAATTTATCCAGTATAGGAGATGCTGCCCCACACCTTCCTCTGCCCTCTCTCACAGCAGACGGTTTCCTGCCACATCAAGAAAACAGAGGCCAATAAAGGCCCTTCCCTTTTCTTTCCTGGAGCTCCAAACTGGTCACATTCCTGCCTATGCCTTCTCAGAGGCCGAGCTGCCTTGCTCCTTCCCACCTCCATGCAATCCTCCATCCCAGGGGCCAGATGGTCATCCCCTCCCTTCCATAAAGTCACTTTCTCAAGGGCCTCCCAGGAGCTGTTCTATTCTCCCCTCCATGACCCTCTAACTGCCCAGCCCCCATGGTGCCCTTCCCTCCACCTACATTTTAAACCCTGAGGTTTCCCAGGACCCTGTCCTCTCTTTGTCCCCCATATCTTATCCCTACACAATCTCATCCACTCCCAAGCCTTTAGCTATTAACTGTGTGTGGTGTGTTTCGCTTTGAATTCTCTGAGCCCTGGGCCTGGTTTCCAGATGCCAGTCAGACACCTGTGACACAATATCTTACAGAAATCTCAATCTCAAAGACCACAAAGCCAGAGGTGTCTCCATTCCTCAAAACCAGTCAGTCCTCCTGGGTTCTCTGCCTGGACTGGCATGCTCACCAACCGCAGTCAGAAGCTGGGCACCATCATTATCTCTCCCCTCTCCGTTCCTCAACAAGTGATCCCCAAGCTCTGTCCTTTCTAACTCTGCCCGGTCTCCTTGGGTTTATTCTCTCCTCCCCATCCCCTCCCCAACTCCTGGAATCAGAACCCACCTTGGCTCAGCAGGAGAGTTACAGTCCCTGCTCGCTCCTCCCCTGCCCTGTTCTAGCTCAGTTTACACACAGCAGCCAGAGTGACTATTCTGGAAGATGGACCTGGTCTAGACCCTCTCCTCTTCCATGGCTCCCCTCTACTGATTTGATCAAGCTTCATATCAAAGCCCCTCTCCACATGACCAGCTGCTTCCCTAGCCTCTGCGCAGCCAGTCCTTGCCTCTGCTGTTCCCCCAAAATGCATGTCCTTTTACACACTGGCCATTGCTTGCACTCAGCCATATTTGGCCACCTATCTGGATTCTTCTCCTACTTCTTTCTCAATATTTTTTCAGGTACCATTGCAATAGAAGAGTTATTTATTTCCCATAGAAGGGCAGCTGTTTCTGGTGGCTCTATTAAACATATAGATCCTTTCGCACAATGAAGCTCCTCCCACAGGCAGTGAATATGGGGTTAATGAGGTACCAAATGGGAGATAGTATTAGATTTATGGAGGCACAGTCAGGGTAGAAGTCCTGGTGCCATCTCCCCACTTCCAGAGCAGCTTTCCTTGAGGTCCCCAAGGTCAGCATCCCCACCACCTGCAGACCCTGACAGAGACAGTCAGGAATTACTTCCCAAGTCAAAGGGCATGAGAGAGACAGCGTGTGGGAAGCAGTTGGCCATTTTTCAAATGTACCAGTGAGGGTTGTTTGTGTTCACAATACTCTGGCTTTGCAATACTATTTTGATGCTAAAAAGAGTCCCAAAGGTGTAGGTGAACATGGTTCCTAAAGGGAAGGCTACTGGGGAATAAGGAGAGAGGAGCCTTACTTGAGTTTCTATTGAAGGGGTGTGTCAGGGTGCTCCAGCCTGAGGTCTGTGAGCCCAGTGTGGCCCTGACACGGAGGTTGTATGGCACCGTGGCCGTGATGTCATCAGTGACGTCACACTTAGGCCCCTCCGTGAGTGAGCACCAGCTGCTGGGGATCCAGATGTGGCTCGTGTACAGGCTCTCGTACTCCCTGGCCAAGGAGAGAAAGGCACAGAGTCACACCAGCCCCTTTGACCCAGGCTCAATGATGGTTGTCAGTAACTGCCTTCATTCTCCTACTTTTTATGGGTCAGCAAAATAAGCATTTCTCCACACCCTAGTTACTCCACTCTCCCTCACCAACCATCTGTTCTCCCTTACTCCTTTTCTCACCAGAGGAGGAGGTATAAACCCCAAACGGTCCAGATCTCTCCATCTCCCCAGTCACCACCCTAATCTCAGCCACCATCATCCCTTGCCTTTCTGTGGTCTCCCAGCCTACACACCTGCCCTTCTTCATGCCATTCATTACTCAGCAGATCATGGTGCTTCTCTTCTTAATGGCTTCCAACAGCGCTTAGAATGGAGTCCAAACTCTTCCCCGTGGCCTACAAGACTCTTAGCCTGATCGCTCACCCTCTCCTAAGCATGATGTTCTCACCACACTGGTCATTCCTCCAAAATGCTGAGCTCTTTTTGCCTTAGGACCTCTGTGAGCTATTCACACTGTCTCGAATGCTCTGCCCTGCTGCCTCCTTCTGTCCTTCAGATATGGTATAAATATCACCTTTTCAGAGAGGCCTTCCCTGACCACCCAATGTAAAGGAGCCACAGAGTCAATTTCCTATTGCATCAGCCTTTTAGCTTCCTCCTAGCACCGATCACTATCTTAAATTTCCTAGAGCCATAGAAAACTCCCTGTGATGATGAAAATGTTCCAGGTTGATGGTGTTCAATATGGTAGCCACTAACTATGTGTGGCTATTGAGCACCTCAAATGTGACTAGTGGGACTGGGAGACAGACATTTTAATTTAACTTAATTAATTTACATTAAAATAGCCACCTATGATTAATGGCTACCACATTGGAGAATGCAGATCTAGTATATTTACTGTCTTTCTCCTACTCTAGATGTAAAGGCCTAATATCCAGAAACCTTGTCAACTGTATCCCTGAGCCTGGAAGAATGTCTACATGTAGGTGTTGTTTGTATACATTGTTAAGGAAATATATTGAGCAGCTTCAGCGTCCCTGTCACTCCTCAACAGCTGCAAGTATCTGGACACCTGTAGAAAACTAGAGTTTTCTTGGCTCCAGGGCCAGATGACCTTTAGGTCACAGTTTGTTTTAGCTCCTACGTATAAGCTCCTTGTCAGGAAAACTGAGGTCTCCCCAACCCCCAAAAGCTCTGAGTCTCCAAGGATTTATCCATCTCAAGTCAGAGTCAAACTCATTAGACAGGTGGTGACTCACTGCTGTAAAGAAGCTCCACCACAATGTGCTCATACACATTTGTGTTCCCACAGAGTCCACTGTCAAATCCATGGACAGTTTCCCTTGCTTCTTCAACTCTCTCCATGCCCACACAGACAGGGGAGGCAGATCACCGGAGGTAAGCTATCCCTGGACTCACAAAGCCTCCTTGAGCTGAGGAGGAAGGGTTGTGCCTTCAGGAACCAACTGATGTCTAAGGGAGAAAAACTCAAAAAATAAAACAACTCACCCCTGGTACTCAACAGAATAGTACACTGTTTCTCCAGGCATGATCACTGGGCTCCACATCAAGAGATGCTTCATGTTGGTTGAATGTACAGAGAGGTTCTGAGGGGCAGGTAGAATGGCCACTCCACCTGGGATCAAGACAGATAGACAGGTTGACAGGTGGGCTCGTAGTGGGGGAATGCATAGCTTCAAATTAGTGTCTAATGAAAGGCCTCATGTGTTTATGAGCTAGAAAGAACCCTAATTTCATCATACTGTTAATGCTAAACTTGTGCTATCATCACTATTATTGTGCCTTTGGTGATAAAATGGCATATTAATATTAATAGTGATTAATATTTATTGAGCACTTACCATGTTCTATCTGGGCCATGTCCTAGATTGTTACATGATTATCTCATTTAATCCTCAAGGTCATACTGGGAGGTAAAGACCATTAGTTTCTCTGTTGTACAGATGAGAAAACTGAGGCATATTATTTATGACTCTTTTTTTCAAAAATTTATTTATGACTCTTATGTCAGATTGGCCTAGATCTAGGCCTTGACTCTGACTCTGCCACTTACTATGTGACCTTAAGCAAGTTGCATAAACCTGACCCTCCCATTCCTTCATGGCAAGCCCATGCAGGTCACCCTGTGACCATGAGCAGTTGAGGGGCTGCCCCGCCTGGTTCCCCTGCCTCTTCTCTAATGTGGGACCCTGGTGACATGCCTCCATCTCCCCCTCAGCATCCACTGCCTGCACTGTGCGGAAACACCTGGGGCACCCACACGGGAGGCTTCCTGACCTCCCCACCCCTAACCTTGAAGTCACGCAAGGGCTAGAAAGGAAAAGGGCCAGCTGGGGGAGGGGTGGTCTGGGAAGGCAGGGACTGGTCCCCTCTGACACCTGTCCTCTAATAAGGCAAAAACATTTTTCCAGTCAGCTATTTGGGGAATATAAAGCTATACAAATATAAAGCCAGATTTTATGTAACTAGTTTAATTATATGATTAAATTACATATCAATAGAATTTTTCATTAATTAATATAATTTAATTATATAATTTTAAAGCTCTCAGAAATGAAATCTCCAGCCCATATTGTTTCACTGGAGAATGCTATCAAACATTTAAAGAAGAATTAACACCAACTTTACACAATCTCTTGCAAAACATAGAAAAGGAAAGAACAATTGCCAACTTACTTTAGAGGCTAGTACTATCCTGATACGAAAATCAGACAAAGACTATACACACATACACACACACACACACACACACCCCTTATAAATATATAAACTATAGACCAATAAATCTTATGAACTTTGACACAAAATCTTCAACAAAATATTAGCAATCCAAATCCAATAGTGTATAAAAAGAATTATACACCATGACCAAGTGGGATTTGTTCCAGGTATGCAAGGTTGGCTTAACATTCAAAAATCAATTAATGTAATCCACCATTATAAGCTAAAGAAGAAAAATCATAAATCATATCAATTGACACAGAAAAAGGATTTATAAAACCCAACACTCATTCATAATTAAAAGCAACAACAAGAAAATAAACACCTCTTTTCAACTTAAGAGCATCAGGGAGTTAACCTCAATAAAGACCATCTACAAAAAACCTATGGCTAACATCTTACTTAATGGTGAAAGACTGAACGCTTCCCCCCTAAGATCAGGAACAGGCAAGAGTGTCCACTCACCACTCTTACTCAACACAGTACTGAAAGTTCTAGTCACTGTAATAAGGCAAGCAAAAGAAGCAAAAGAAGTATGGATTAGTAAAACTCCCCCTATATTCAGATGACATGATAGGCCATGTAGATGATCCCACGGAATCTACTAATACAAAAAGCAAAATTTCTAAAACTAATAAGTAAGTTCAGCAAGTTCACAGGATACAATATAAACACAAACATTAACTGTATTTCTATATGCTAACAATAAACATATACCCAGAAATTAAAATTATAATCATTAAAAAAACACACAGGTATAAATCTAACAAAATATATCTAGGATTTGTATGGGGAAAAACTCCATAATGTTGAAAGAAATTAAATAAGATCTAAATAAATGGAGAGACATACTTTTTCATGGATTGGAAGATTCAACATAAATAAGATGACAATTCTCCCCAAATTGATATACAGGTTTAAGGCAATTCCTATCAAAATCCCAGCAAGGTTTTTCGATAGTATAGATCAGCTTTTTCTAAATGTTACAAGAAAAGTCAAAGGAACTAGAATAACTAACAATTTTGAAAAAAAAAGAATAAAGTGAGAGGAATCAATCTACCCAATTCCAAGACCTTCAGTAATTAAGATTGTGTGGTATTGGCAAAGGGTTCACCTACCTTGTTGGTAGGAATGTAAAATGTTACATTCGCTTTGGAAAATAGTCTGACAGTTTCTTGTAAAACGTGTAGTTACTATATGATCTAGCAATTGCATTCTTGGGCATTTGTCCCAGAGAAATGAAAATTTATGTCACAAAAGACCTACACATGGATGCCCATAGCCAAACTACAATAGGCCCAGATGTGCTTCAACAAGCGAATGGTTAAATTAAACAAACAGTGGTACATCCATACCATGGAAGGGGGCCATGAGCAAGGAACACAGGTAGCCATTGGAAGCTGGGAATGACAAGGAAATAGATTCTTCCCTAAAGCCTCCAGAAGGAACACAGTCCTGCCCACACCTTGATGTTAGTCCAGTGAAATGGTGAACAGATTAGCTGTATTTTGAAATAATTTCAGACGTACTGAAGCGCTGTTAAATAATACACAGAGCTGTCATATGCCCTTTGTCAGCCTTTCATAGGTACAAACCATAGTACAAATATGAAAACTAAGATATTAATATTGATACAATATCATTAACTAAGCTTCAGTGTTTATTCAAATTTCACCAGGTTTTCCCCTAGTGCTCTTTTTTTCCCCAGGAACCAATCCAGGATTCCACATTTAGTTTTCAGATCTAGTCTGTCTCCTCTAATCTGTTCTCAATTTGTCTTTGTCTTTTATGACCTTGACACTTTCGAAGAGTCCTGGTCAGTTGTTTCGTAGAATGTTTCTCAGTTTGGTTTTGTCTGATGTTTTCCTATGCCTTGATTGAAGTTATACCTTTTTACCATGTACTCACAGGGAGCAAGTGACGTCAATATGTCTTATTACTGGTGATGCTAATCACCTCAATCACTTGGTTAATGTGCTGTCTCCACTATAAAGCTACCATTTTCCCCTTTATAGTTAACAAAATACCTTGGGGGAGACATTTTGAGTCTATGCAAATATCCTGCTTCTCCTCAAACTTTCACCCATTAATTTTAACATCTATTGGTGGATATTTCTCGTAACAATTATTGCTGCGATGTTCTAATAGTGATTTTTTACTTAATTGAATTCTTCTGTAAAGAAGAGCTATTCCTTCTCTACTATTTATTTATTCAATTATTTATATCGGTATAGACTCATGGATATTTATTTTAGTCTTGGTTAAAGTCTAACGCTATTGTTATTCATTTTGCTACTCAAATTGTTCCAACTTTGGCCAATGAGAATTCTTTCAAGTTGATGCCTGTGTCCTTTTAACTGGCTCCCATAGTCTTTTTTCATGTTATTTTTATTAATAGATTTTTAAGTTTTGGAATAATTTTAGATGTACAGAAAAATTGCAAAGATGTGCACAGAGTTTCTGTATACCCTTCACCCAGTTTCTCCTAATGTTAACATCTTATGTGACTGTGACTCATTTGTCAAAAGTAAGAAACTTAAGCTTCAAGTCAGTGACAAGTTAAAAAAAAAAACACCAAAAAATACCCCAAAACTAAGAAACCAACATTAGTACTTTACTATTAACTAAATTCCACACTTTATTTGGATTTCACCAGTTTTTCCACTAAGGTCTTTTTTTCCATTTCAGGATCCAATCCAAGATACTATGTTGTACTTAGTCTCCTATCCCTTTTTAAGCACTTCATTACTACTTAACCACGAAATGCTCTTGTCTCATCTTGCATTTTCCTTGTCCAGCCCTGGAATTAACCATTTCTCTAAGGAGCCCCACTCAGGGAGTTTTGAAAAATCCCAGTATCAGGCAGCACCTTAGATTAATTCCGAACCTCAAGCTCTGAAGTTCCAGCACTTATGTTTTTAAAAGTTCCCCAGATGATTCCAATGTGCATTTGAGATTGGGAGCCACTGATCTAGACCTTACTTCTAGGGTCTAAAGAATAGTTACAACTATGTTAAATTCCCAAATGCCAAAGACTTCAGTGTATTTCCCAGCAGGCTCTTACATTCCATGAAGACAAGGGACTCTTTTTTCCATCTATACTCAACACCCAGACCAGAACCGGGTACACAAAAGGTGCTCAGAAATGCTAAATGAATGAAAATTGAACAAGTGAACCAAGTCTTGGCTCTCTTAGGGAAATTAGCCTAGGCCTGACTTCTTTTTTCCTAATCCCTCATCCATTTTCAATTAGTGCCTTTTGCTGCTGAACACTTGTTTCCTAAAATCTAGAGTCAGTACAAGGGAGGCAGCATGAAGGCTACCCACCACAAAGGCCTCGGGCAAACTTGCAGGCAGAAATCTTTGTATCTCCTCCCTAGAAGGATCCCACTGGGTCCGATGTCAGCTCCTCACATCTGGATATTCTACCACCTTTACGTCTAACAGCTTTTTTTTTTTTTTTTGAGACAGAGTCTCACTGTGTTGCTCGGACTAGAGTGCTGTGGTGGCGTCATCCTAGCTCACAGCAACCTCAGACTCCTGGGCTTCAGCGATCCTTCTGCCTCAGCCTCCCAAGTAGCTGGGACTACAGGCATGCGCCACCATGCCTGGCTAATTTTTTCTATATATTTTTAGTTGTCCAATCACTTTCTTTCTATTTTTTAGTAGAGACGGGGTCTCGCTCTTGCTCAGGCTGGTCTCAAACTCCTGAGCTCAAATGATCAGCCCACCTCGGCCTCCCAGAGTGCTAGGATTACAGGCGTGAGCCACCGCGCCCAGCCACGTCCAACAGCTTTTAAAACAAATGTTTCATGAAAGACACCACCATCTTCTTCATTTCCTTTACTTCGTCCCTCCTCCCTTTTCCTGGCCTGTTTCAATGTCTCAGCTTCTTCTGCAGAGAAGTATAAAGGGCCACAGGCTCTGGAGCCCACCAAACTGGAGTCAAATCCCAATTCCCCCACTTAACTAAATGTATTAATATATACTTGGACAAATAACTGAATCTATCTTAGTCTCTGTTACTAATGTGTACAGTGGGAACAGTAACACCTATCTTGCAGGATTGATGTGAGAAGTCAAGAGAACATATTTGCAAACCTAGGGCACAGTGTGCACTCAGAAATGGTAGATGCAATTGTCATTGTTGTTATTGTTATTATTATTGGCAGCAGGAATCAGTTTCCTGAATCACACACTACATTTGGAAGGGACAGGCCAAGGCATATGATTTCTACGAAAGAGTGCAACAACTCTACCCATCTGTCCACTGATCTAGTAACTAATAGAAGTTCATTTAGAATTTGCAGAATTCATCACAGGCACCTACACATCCCAGAGGAAATTGCATAAAGGCAACCTCAGCAAAAGCAATTATCTGTTGACACCACCATCTGTTTGTATGACCAACAGATAATATTAATAATAACTAACATTTGGAGGTGGGGGCATGTTGATGTCTTCAAAGTGATTTTGTTTGCATCATCTTATTTAAGCCCTCACTGTCTCAAAGTGGCTAGTATGACCATTTCACAGATGAGGAAACTGAAGTAACATGATCTAGTCCCTGAGCTGGTAAGTGATAGAGCCAAAACTCACACACAGGTCTTTCTGGCTGCTCCAACATCCAAGGGATTTTCACCACTGTTTTCTGTTTGTTTTTTCTGTGTAACTTTATAAGCGTCAGAAGAGTACACTCACCTCCAAGTCTGTTTGAAATGGGAGTTTTCAAGAAAAGACTGAAAAGACTGGACTCACTGAAGAAAATGTCAAGTTAAAAAATGCTGGTCTTTCCTCTTCTCATTTGGTCTTCCATCTCCTCCCTTTGGCTTACGGGAGGAATGCTTCCTTGGCAACTTTTGTCCCAACAACTAAACAACCTAACAACTAACTAACCGAACAAGCAGCATGCTTAGCTATGGTAGGGGCTGTAGGGATACCAGGAAAGATGCCCTCAGCCCTCAGACCGGGGCTGAAAAGAGAAGTAAACCATTGAAGCTAGAGTATATGTGGTCAAGGGTCAAAGGAGAGAGAGGTCTTGGAAGGGGATGTAGGAAGAAGGACCCATTTGGAATGATGATGGGAGCCTGGGCTTGGGATGGGGAAAGGAAGTGGAGATGGTGCTTTTGGTGGGAAATTATTACAATAAAGGCCAGGAGGAGGAAATGAAAGTATAATATGCCGACCGTGAAGACAGCAGCTGCCTACAGTCCGTATTTGTTTTCAAGGAGTAGTGAGAAATAGGGTTGAATAAACAAAATAGGGCGAGGCCTGAATTTGCTGGGTCATGAGAAACACATAGCAGAATTTGGACATCATGTGCTGAGCAGTTGGGTGCTGTGAAGGTTTTTGAGCTAGGAAGGAACATCATATATTTGATGTTTAAGCCAGTTCTACACATTTGCAAATAGACTTAGCACTGATTTGTTGCCTGATTAAAACTAAAATAATTAGTTCCGTGTAAACAAAAACAGAAAGTACTCAAGGCTCCCATTGACACTGAGAATGCAAAGTGCCTAATATCATCAGAGTATTAAAATTTAAAATTTCTTTTAAATGTGATTTGACATGAACAAACATCAAAGACTAAGCAGCTGCGATTTTGGAACGATAAATCAAGTAGGTACATGTAACCAGGAGTGGAGAAGAGAAAATTATGTAATCTTACTGGCAGGGAAAATGCCCCAAACCAAATATTTTTTTTAAATGCTATGAAGTACCTTTTCAGCAATGACCAGGAGAGAAATCCGATCGTTCATAAGTCTTGTACCCCGTATAAAGTCCACACATTATCTTTTTATTCATATGTACTTTGTTAGAATCTTTGTTTCACTTTAATCTGTCCTTACAGTTAACATCTCCGAGGCACACACAGAAAGACTGACAGAACTATGTTGTACCCTTTAAAACTAGATAATGAGATAAATAACAAAATGCACGGAGCTCTGCTAACCTTTAGACTATTTATTTTGATGATTTATCTTTCTAGATTGTTCTGTGGAGGTGAGAAGAAAGATTTCCAAACAGAAAGCAGGCCTTTTCTTTTCTTTGCGATGTGGGGATGAAGGTTTAGGTGAGAAACCTTTCAGAAAACAGACATGCGATGTTCTATACAGATATTTCAACCCGAACTCTGAGAAAGCATTTTCACCTTCTTAACCTATATTCAAGGTCCAAACTATTGGATGTATTCTAATTCATACTTACCTGTGAGCAAACATGGAATCAAGGCGTAGAAAAACCACATGATAAGACTTGTCCAGATTTCTTTTAGAACCATAGTGAAGGTCTGTGTTTGGTAGACTCAGTTTGACCTGGAACATAATTTCCTTCCAGAATGAAGCATTCTGCCCATCTCAGCCACCTTGCTTCAGAACGCATATGTTGGAGACCAGGTCTGAGTCACGGTGAAGCCTGAATTGTTTGGAAGCCAGAGCCGGCCCAGAAAGCTCAGAAAGGGCGGGCTCTGCAGCACCCTCCTTTCTGCCCAAACCTAGATATTGCATCAGGGGGAGTGGCCTAGAAGAGTTCCAGAGAAAACGTAACTCTGGGGAGCTTGAGAATCTGCTTAGCGGAGATACCTGGATCACAGGCTTTCTCCTACAGGGCCCCAGATGTCCCTAGAGGCCAGTGAGCAGGCAGGATTATCTTCCCCCACCCCCAGCCTTACTAAATAGCTGTCTTCTTCCAAGTCTCCTTCTGTGAGTTCATTCAAGCTGAGTACTGATTAGCTCTTTTTGTTAATATATATCCACTTAAGAAAAAGTACAGAAGTTACAAAAATTTTCAATACCTTTCTAAAAGTCAAGAGGTGAAGAATAATATTCATATTTATATCTGCATGCATTTGCAAAAAGAAAATCCGAAAGGAGATATAGGAAACAAGGTTGGTTATCTTGGGGCAGAGAGAGATTTGGAAAGATGCAAGAGAAGAATAGGAATAAGACTTTTGACAATTTTTTAATACTGATTACTGAACCATGTGAATATATTACTAAAAAAATTAGAACTAATTTTAAAAATTGGAAGGAAAATTTTATGATAGGGAGGTTTGGCCCCTTAAAATTCAGCTCTTTACGTACATATATATATAAAAAGAAAAAAAACATTCAGCTCTTTAAGGACTCTGAATCACCCTAATGTGATGCAAATACAGTAAGCAGAATGAACATGAGTTTCAGAGTACAACATATTTTGGTCCCACTTTCAGAACTTATTTGTAACATAACCTTGGGAAAGTCAATCATTTATTTATTCATTCAACCAACAATCACTGAGGGCCAACTATGGGCTAGATCCTGGGAATTCAACAGTCCATTCCCTCAACAAGAAGTTCACATTCAGTGGAAAAGAGGGACATGGGAATAATCATAAATCAATATTAAAAACAAAGTGACAGAAATATTCATAAGGGAATATAGGAGCACTAAGGAAAAACATGAACCATGTGAATATATATCCCAGCCAGTAGGATCACAGAAGGCTTCCTGGAGGAGGTGACTCTGGGGCTGAGTATTAAACTCTGAAAAAAATCAGCCAGGCATGGTGTGTTTAGGAAATCACAAGAAGTTTGGTATAACTGGAGAGCAAGGTTGAAGTGGCAAGAAATGGGGCTCAACAGCAGACAGAAACAGGATTCCAGGGAGCTTTGAATGCCTTGTTGAGGAGCTTGGAATTTATCCTGAGAGCAATGAAGGTCAAAGTAAGGGTAGAAAGCTCAAATCTGATCATGTCATTCCCTGCATTGTGCTTTGAGCTTTTTTTTTTTTTTAAGTTTTTGACTAGGGTGGAGAAAGCAGTGCAGGGCGCCAGATTGGAGGTAGAAGGGTCAGGCGGGAGCTATGGCAGTCATCCAGGTGAGAGATGTTGTTGTCCTCCACCGAATTTCCCACGTCTATATAAAGAAATGACCGAATTCAAAAGATAAAGGAGGTAGAACTGACAGCTCCTGGATGCTGAGTGGATTGGGAGGGTGCGGGAAGAGGAGCCAAACACGACTTTCAGGTTCTGGGTTTGGGTCATTGGGTGGATGGCAGCACCTCAACTGAAATAATGGAGGGTGGGGTGGGGTCAGGACTGGGGGTGGTGCAGAAAAAGGCTGCATGTGTTCAGCTTGATACATTTGAATTTGAGATGCTTATATGGACAGGAGAAGTCTCCAGTATGTAAATAGTCTTTGTCTGAAGTTGATGGGTGTCAAGGGTATGGTACCATCTCCCCTACCTCCAGCAGTTCAGTGGTAGCTGAGACCACTGGGAGAGATCATCCAAGAAGCTTATGTAGATTCAGGACGGCTGTGGATGTGCCCCTGAAGAAGACCCACATTTACAGAGTAGGGCAAGACAAAAGAAATACGGAGATTCAGGGGAAAAAGAAATAGGTCAGAGAAGTGGTCCTGGAAACAATGAAGCATAACGTGCTTATCAAGGAAGAGTACAGAAGAGAGGTCCAGTGAGTTAATCATTGAAAAATGTCCTCTGGATTTCACAACTGGAAGGTTGTTTGTAAACTCAGCAAGAGGAGTTTCAGTGGAAGGCTTGGAGCAGAAGCTAGATAGCTGAAGGTTGAGGAGTAGATGGAAAAAGTAGTGCTCTTCTGATGCAAAAGGGAGGAAAACAACTCCATGAGCCTTGTTTTCTTCATTTATAAAATAGGTACAATAATGCCTTTCATAATAGTTGTGGGAATTAAAGAAGAATGCACACAGAGCACATTAGCACAGTACAGGAATCCAGTAGGGATTCACAAATGGTTTATCAACCATTTGTTACATTAATAATATTAACAATAAATAAATTAGGGACTTATTTGCTCTGACTGGCTGGCCCTTTGCTAGCTGCACATCTTTCAGTTCGGCTCATGGACCAACAAAGAAAGGCTTTTAGTTGAAGGGATCTAGTAGAAAGCAGTAGTTTAAAAGCATGGGCTCTGGAGCCAGATTGCTTAGGTTGGCATTCAGGCTCTGCCGCTTACTGTGTTTCTTTCGACAAGTCATTTAAACTACCTTAGTGTTCTCATCTGTAAATTGGGAACAATTATAATAATACCTAACTCAAGGCTATTGTGAGGACTAAATGAGATGGTACGCTTAGAACAGGCTGTGGCACAAAGTAAATGTACTGTAAACATTGGCTGAGTATCTTATTACTATACCATAGTCATGAACACTTGGTGCATATTCTCCTTGATCTCAGCCCAGTGGCTAAATCTGTGCCTTGACCTCTGGTCACTGGCTGCTTGTACACAGTATCTCACTGCTGCCCTAGCGTCTGATCCTGTCCTGCCTTGCCTTTAGGTCTGGGGACCTAATTTGGAGTGCTTCATACATGGCCTCAACATCTGTCCTCAGTCCTACCTTTGTTCTCCCAGTATTGGCTTCCTGATTCCTCTCTCCTGAATCCATTTCTGTTCGCAGTTCCAGCATGTCAAAAGTTAACAATATAAGCCAATGTGTATTGGGTATCTACTATCTGCCAGGAATTGTCCTAAAGGCTTTCCACACACTATATACATTTTCATATATTATGCAACAGACTTGCAAGGTAAGATTTGATTCTTCACTTTGCAGATGAGGACACAGAACTCAGGGAAATTAACTTACTGTAGATCACAGAGGGAGTCAGGAATGGAAACAGGAATTCTAACTGAGGTCTGCCTAAGTCCAAGTTCTTTTCACTCATCTTAACTGCCTCCCAGTTAGAACCAAAGGAATGCTCACAATGTGTCAGAAGGGCACAGAGGAGTGATCCAAGAGATTAGCAAAAAGATCCTAAAGTTCTCAGTAATGTAAAAATAAAATAAAATAAAAAGAGATTAGCGAAGACGTTAGAGAACAGGCAGCCCTGAATATGGGCTTCCAAGGATGTACCTATCTAGATTTGGGTAGGCGGGGGAGAGATGCATTCACTGCTCAGCATTCCAACTGGGAGAATGACTCGAGCAAGGCCAAGGATGGAAAGGTTGAGGGGAATACAGACTGAATTAGAGGATGAAAAGAAAAGCGTAAGTAAACAGAGAAAATGGAAAAAAGAGTAAGACTCCTTTAGCTATGCTGTGGATGAGGAAGGAGAGTTGTTCACCAAGCCTTGAGATCTTAAGACGGATAGTTAGTTCTACCCGGGCATGAGTCCCTGTCAAGACGACCCTGCCCAGCACTGCCATGCTCTGACAAGGCAGAAGGACCTTGCCAATCCTTCACAAGCCAGTGCAAGTATGTCCTGGCTCCGAACACCTCAAGGGGCACTGAGAGGAATGTTATCTATCAAAGCTTTTCAATGACAGTTCTTCTCAAGCCTGGGTCATGACCCAACAAGAAACTCAGACCATCCACCTCTGCCTGGGTCATATATCACTGGGTGAAGACTTCTGGAGGGCTGCCCCTAACCTTGCCTGAACATCTCTAAGTCTGACTTTGCCTTTCTCTTCTAACTCTGAGGGACTTTTTTTATACCATCTCATCAACTGGTTGTGATCTCTTGTCTATGGAACATGCCTAAAGCAAACTGTCCTCTCTCCTGTTGCCTGCACTTCTCAGGTTAATTTCCAGTGCCTTCCACAGAGTTGGAGGATCATCTATATCTGAAGATGAATTGCTGGAAGAATGGAGCTATTAACATTTCTTCTCGTAAGCAGGTGTGGTTCAGAAATAGGACGTTTTTCCCTCTATTACACTGTCTGCCACTTAAATTTCTGGTATTTAAATATGGAAGGAAAAGCAAGCAGATAAAAGGGCTTTACGGAGAGGTAAAGAGAGGCAGTTGGGAGGGATGGGAAGTTTGATGGCCACGGAGGAGACTCCTAAGCTCTATGTGCCATGTAGGGCCAGGACTAGAATGAAGCAAGGGAAGCACCTAGGGTGCAAAATTTGAGGCACTCACTCTTAGGGTTGTGCAAGTCCAGAATAGGCCCTGGTGTCCTGGCATGGACTACGTGGTCAATTACTCCATTCTAGTAACCCTCCCTTGTCCTACTGAACACGGAATACTTCCTTCTCTTTGCACCAAGATTCCCAAATATCTATGTCTTGTGTTTCTAGCACATCTGACATTCAGTTGTAACTATCTCAATTTTTTTTTTTCTTTCTAGAAGTAACAGGGAATCAAAACAGTGTAATTCCTCTTGTCTTAGACTGTTCTAACTCCTGCTTCCACCAAGTTTGCTCCAGGTGTAATTTCTACATACTTTCAAGCTCCAATTCTCAGGGCTCCTGCATCCCTTTTTCATCTCCTCTAGACATACTTCAGCTTTTCAACTTCCTCTCTAATGTTTATCATGTGGTCATCAGAAACTTAACCTCCCTTGACCTCAGTTGTTTTCTTAGGGAAACAATTCCTCAATAAAACACTTAAGTCTGCCAAACTGCCCTCCTTCTGTAGTTATAACTGATTTTTTTCTATGTGACATTCCCCGGACAACTCCTCTTAA